TGTCCTCAAACAGCACTAATAAGGATCCTGCTGACCTTTCTGAGCTTGCAGGGCAATTTCATGTAATTCATGAATCTATTATCTCATGACTTTACTCATAAGCCACAAAAGTAAACCCTCCTAAGAAGTATTCAACTGCATTATCAAAGGGGTCTCAGATTTACCATTAGTAAGCCAGTTATGTCAATGAGTCAGTATTCCACCTCATAAGAACAGTAGAAATTTCCACACACTAAGCACTCTTGCTATTTCTGTGAAACTAATTTTGAGCCAGTCTGTACCCCTTTGATTACAAAGAGCATACTCTATTATTATTCCAGCAGCATAAATTACAACAAATTAGGAACTTTTTGAATTGGACTGTGCCCATGATGCATGTGTTTGCTATTAGTGCTAGGCATGCCGCTTCAAACCTGCTAGAAAGAGGATACAGGTAACAGAGCTTGTTATTCTGCTAAAGTATCCCACTTGCACTGTAGAAATTTTCAGCTGTTTGCTTAATTTCACTTTCTTGCCTTGAACAGAAATGAAAACATCCTGGTCATAGCATTCAGAAGCTCAAACAGCAGATTAAGATAAATCAAAACAGCAGATTAAGATAAATCAGAGTTCAATTCAATATTCAAATAGTCTTATCTATGATTAACATAAATAAGGCTCTCTGCTTCCTAGTGACTGGCGAAGAATGCACGTTCTGTTTTTAATAAAATAAAAATAACAAACAAACAAGAAGAAGAATGCAAGAATGAACATTAGAGGAAGTATTCAGTTTCTCTACAGTCCTTCGGAACAAACCCAAAAAAGCAAAAATGAAAACAAGTCTGTTGGTAAAGAATTTTGGCTACACTGAGAGAATAAAGGTATTTGCAAGTTTTTATTTAGGTCTTCATATCCAGGAAAATAGTAGTAGCTCTGATCAACTGCTCTGACATTTTGGGTCATGGGCCATTATCTGACATGGAAAAAAATGTCAGAAGGTTATTTTTCTATTAATTACTAAAACAGTATGTTTTGCACGTAACCAGCATGTGTTAGGAACATCACTGCAAAGCCCAGAAGCCAGGTACTAGCCTGGAGGCTAGCCCCAGAAGCTAGTACCTCCTTGGTACTAGCATGGAGGATGCTATATAAACACAAAGAAATAAACAAAAACAAAAAGAAAACAAAATCAAAACAAAACAAATCTTCCTTACTCCTAGGCACTTAAAATTCTGAAGATTTCATGCACTGATCCAGTTTTAATCCCTAACAAAGACTGTAGCATAGCTAAAGCAACAGGCTCTTCTGCTGGAGATAAAACATACATAAGACCTTTTCTGTGGTATGTCTAGCAGAAGGTCATAAATTCCCAGCTACCATAAGCTAAGCCAGCAAAGGCACTACTCTGTACAGCTGCGTCATTACTAGAGGTCTGCTGATAGAATACAGTTTGTTCACAATTCGTCAGTGATGTTACTATGGGAACTTTTGTAGTGAGAGCTCCTTATATCTGATCCAAGTTTCAGAAAGACAGGAGTAGGAACAAAGGAAAGAAACTGAAGAAAATCATAGGAAACCGTATCAGCACACTGTGTCCCTATTTACTGTCCTACTGGAGAGTCCCAGTGGTGGAGATGAGGCATTTCCTACAGGCAGTAACCAAACAAAGTTAGCATCACATCACCGATTTACAGTATGGTTCATGTTCTTAACTATTTAGCTGCTACTGAACATTAATTTCACATTTAAAGAAAAGCAGCTTTACCCAACTATAGTGATAAAAGACAAACTTCTGCTAGTCAAAAGATTTGCAAATACTTCTGAAATGCAACTTAAATACACATCTTGGTGCCCTGTTAAATTCAGTGAGTTAAAAACTAAATGACAACAAAGTATACACTTGGCACAACAGCCCACTGCCCTCCTCCCAGTTCTTACTGCTGGCTTGCTACCAGAGAGAACAAATATCACAGAAATAGCAACAGTGACACAGATCTGCTTACCCCATAAATAAAACCAGAAACTGAATGGAGAAACTCATGTAAATGCTTAATATGTATCCTGCTTTCACAAACACCACAAAGCCTGTGTAGATTGTAGCACTAAGTTCTCGCACCAATTTTGTACTATAATGGTAGCTAGGAAAAAGCAGTTATGAAGTCTTCCTTGCCTAAAGCATATCAATATTAACAGAATCACCATTTGTCTCAGGGAAATCAAATGGTACTGGGAGAAACCTACTGAGCCACAGAATGCTTAATATTGATTACAGCTTCTCATGCTAATTTCTGGTTTATTTTCCCATTATTAATGCTGGCAATGAACAGTGCTCAGCCTCTCTCTCTCCTGTGTATTTTTGTTTCAATATACATATCAATTTCCCCTGCAGAGTTACTGTTGTATCTAATGAGCAAACACATGCTATATGACATGTCTTTTTATGCCCTTGATATTACTCCAATTAATTCAGATCACCAATAATATATTTTTAAAGTGCTCACAATTAAAAAGTCATATTAACTTTGTGCAGTATTACAGCACATAATGCAAAAAACCATGTAACATGTATCTGTTCCTGTTGCCTGTCACAAAAGAACCATCCAATTTTTCCTTTCAAATTTTCATTTAGAAAAACCCTCAAAAACTAAATAATGAAGCTTCACTAGATATTACAACAGTATGAGAAAGAATGCAAATACAGCCCAGCTATTTAACTCCAAGCAGAGCACTTAATTGAGGGTAGTAAGTTGGTTCTGCAGACATGCATCCCGAAAATGTCATCTTTTCTAAGACATTTCTGTTTTAAACCAGTCAAGCACGTTGACAGCACTAGGTAATAACAACTCCATACAAAAGCCCTCTAACTAACAATCCACAGTATTTTTAAACTCTGAAGATGAATCACAGTTTCAAATAAATTTCAGATATTTCCTTCTCACAATTTCATATTAAATATTGACTGAATTGTTCCCCACTTCTTTAAGCCATCACAACAGTCAACACTTTTAAGGAAGTTGTTAAAGTGCCAAAATGCGCAGTTCCTTTCGAAACAAAGAATACACAGTCCAATCCTGGATTCACTGGTCATGTCTATTATTTGCATATAATGTGGCCTAGCAGGAGGAGAGGTGCAAAAGGAAACAGTGGTGCACAGAACTTCATGTCCACATTATATCCATTTCACAGCATTTTAATTTCAGATTATCCCTTTTCTCATCCCATGGTCCGAACATTCATTTGACGAAGTGGACTTCTGGAATGCATCCTTAATTTCAGTCTACTCAAAAGGAACTCAGTTTGTGTCTCTATGATCACTTCATGATGTGAACCAAAGCAACCAAAGCACAGTAAGTGGTGATAATCAAATCTGGTTCAAAAGCATCTTCCTGATTTGAAGTAAAGCACAAGATGCACCCACAGAAGTAAATGGAAACTTTGTAATTCCTTTCAGTGAGATAACTTACTTAATAATCTCTCCCTCCTTTTTTAGTTGTTTTTTTTTTTTCTATCTGATCTTTCAGTTTAGGTGTAATAAGACATGAAGAGTAAAAAAGAACGATAAATACAGTAGAATAGTGTGTTAAATAAAGGAAAAGTTTGCTGGTGTGGTTGTTTAGATTGCTTTAATTTACTCTGGCTTTTCTCATTCCCACAGTCATGCACTTTGCACCAAAACAATGGGATAAAGATGGTGATATTTCCATGCCTCTGCTCAGAAGTCCACTTTAGGGTCACACTGCAGTGCCCAAGCTGAAGGCAGTGGGGCTCTAGAGAGGCTAAAAAATCTACTTATATTCAGCTAGTTATACTTATGAGCTTTAACAGAATGTGTCTATGATGGCAAAGGTAACACACATAAATTTCTCAGCTCTTTAGGATCCTTTTGTCCCGTTTTCTCAAAATACCTCCACTCACTGATACAGAGGGGAAAGAAATGTGAATGCATTATATATATATATATATTATATATATATATATATATATATATATTATATATATACTACTGGGCCCTGAATGAACATGAAAATGTAGTTATTGCGGAAGAGGCTGTTTAAAAAAACTCATACCTGGGAATTAGAACACTTATTTTGTATTACGCCTCTCCATAATATCCTGTAGCAGAAGAATCTCCTTTATATATTATACATTTTTCATTTTCTTTCAAACTCTGAACATCATTTATCTTGTGATTTATCATTTACATAGCAATGATTAGGTGATTATGCATACTTATTGTCCACCACAAAGCTAACACATGAAATCCAAACATATATTATAAAGACAGTGTGTACGACACTAAGACACTTAAGCACTAATATACCCATAAAGCAAGTAGCAAAATGCTGAGCAGACAATAAACATAAATCCAAACTTTTAGCATAGTAGTTCCTTACACATTTTTTGTATGAGTTAAATACCATACCCCTCCTACTCTTTACTGAAACCATAGAAACTGCTACCACTTCTTCCAAAGTGAAGCATGACTCCAGCACATCTATCCTTTCAGAAAGCATACTCAGTATAAACTACATTCCCAGCCACCAGGAGGTTTGGGAATAAAAATTGAAGGGAACTGCCACCTTTTTCTTTTGCACAGTCATAAAGTGTTATGACTTTCTGATGCTATAGTCTGCGTAAATTTGCTGTCAGTCTTGCCCCTGTGATATTGCACCTACAGCCTTGGAAATTAGCATGATCTTGTTTTGAATAAATAACAAATGTTTTTCTCAAGAAAGAGGAACTTTTAACAGTGTAAAGACAATACCTAACAAAGCTTACCAAAAGAGTAAACGTCATAGGGAAACAAGAGACTGCGGAAGTACGCATCAAGTGCGTATTATTTGGTGGGGTAAGTAAATGAAATCTGTAAAATCACGAGTTTTGTAGCTTCTCCTCAGCTCTTCTCCAAAATTCTGAGATCTGAGTCAGACTAACTACCTGTTTAGCTCAGTAACCTCTCCATATAACTGTCAAAATAGCAATATTTCTATTGGCTGACCCATATTCTCAGAATCACTTACCTGTATAAAGCTCTTCTCGGTGCATTCTGCATTTGCATCACTGAGAAAGGGTCAGGCATCAAGCACAGCAGAATCTTTGGTATGAGAACTGCTGGACTTGCTGCAGATCTCACTTGATCACCCGTCTTCCCATCCAGAGTGGCTGGGCCTGAGAATAGGAGGGAAAAAAGTGGTGCTTAAAATTATAATCCAAAGACCAGAGGGGTCATGTGCACTACACGGTGTCTCTCTGCAGTCTTAAGATACAGGAATCCTTTGACCCTCAGCTCTACAACTCCCACTTCCCCTTCCGTATGAGAAAGAAAAAGCAAGCCTTTAATTCTGGACTCTCCTCTGTTGCTCAATAGCCACAAGCCATTTGTGGTTCAATAACCACATTCCTTCCTTTGCCATTTACCCATACTGTTCCAACCCATTGTTGCATGGCTACTTTTCCTCTAGGTATTTCCTCTTCTTGAAGCTTCTCTCATTACTATCACACGAGTACTCCCCTGCTGCCCACACTGCCTCTCAAAGCACTACTCCACCTGATACCACAGTTTCTAACTGGCTGCTTGGTCACACGTGGAGTTCCACATCAAGCCTCTTCAACTACTGCTGAGGGGAAAGCATGCACTTCATCACATTCATCCTGGAAGAACCACTGGTGGATCCTGAGAAAAGTGCATGGAAAGTCTGTGAACTTCCCAGCCAAATTCTACTAAAATATTCTGCAATTTCTTATTAGTGCAAAATCAATTAGATTTTGGCCTCACCCCTACAGCAGGCTGGAATTAGACTGCATTTTCTCTTTTCAATCCTCGTACACACCACTCTCATACAAACCACTTCTTCAGGTGGGTGCACCCGGGTACCCATAACCTTGCCTGCAACAACATATGCATATGTAGTTTCTCTGATACATCTGAAACAGCCTTCTTACAATGATAAACAAAATCCCAATTGTATAAAGCATGTCTCCTCTGATTCTCATTTAGTAAATATGCACACATTGATTTGGAAAAATCTCCAGGAACTCGCCAACAAAGTTTAGGTTGACAAGCAGGCATTATTAATGCGGCAGCAAGAGACACAAGGAATAGCTCCTCCTAGCGTGTCTCTCTGAATTGCTAAACAAGCTGTCATTATATAGTCATTATGCATACGTACTCATTAGGTACAACATGCATATTCATGAGGCTGCGTATGTATTACATCATTCTTCCAGAAAGTTTCCCTACATGCATGTAAAAATGTGGTGGTGGTCTCTGGGGGTCATTTACTTCTTCCAACAATCTTTGTCACTTCTGGCAGCCTCTGAAGCACGTGCAGTAGATAATGCTTACACCAGATTAATTGGTTTGGTAGCACTGCAGACATAATCATCCTGTCCTTCTACTTACCAGTGAGTTCAGCTGCAGCCCATCCTGGACGTCTGCTAGTTTCAGATACTCTTTATCTACACATCCTGTTTTTCTTACATTCATTTTTGTATTAAGGTCATAAGGACCTAAAACTATGTCAACTACAATGGTTTATCTTACACAAGTATTCTCATTATGTTCTCCAGCTGCACTTTTTTTCTTCTGTGAAACATGTACCTCAGTTATTTTCCATTGCTACTGTTACAAAGCCATCAAACTTAACGTTACTTAGAACTGAATCTACTTATTTACGAAGGTTTGTATTTCATTTTGTGCCTACTTGTCTCAACATGTGCCAAAGCTTTCCTGTGCAAAAATTAAAACAGCTGAATACGCATGGCAGACAATTGTGCTCCATGTGCAGTATTTCAGCAAATCTGTACCATTTAAACACAGCATTACTGTAAGTACTTTTTTTAGGAAAACAACTTAGGAACGTTAAAAAGTCTCTTTACAGTTTAAGACAGACTTTTTGGACACCTCAGAAGTTGCATTCTTCCTATTTCCTTAAAATTCATGATAGGAACTTGCATTCTTCTAGTGCTTGACACAGAAAAGTTTCATTGAGACTGCCTGAGTTGTAAAGATGCAAATCATGTTTGGGCCTGTTGCTGTTTTGCAGTTTTCTAAACAAAGATACAGTCTAGTTTAGAAAGGAGACACTGTTTATTCTGTGCAGGGTGCTTGATGGAAGTCTCCACAAATCAAGCACACTGATGATCATAACTTGAAGCTATTTACACGAGAAACAAACAAATTGGTGTCCATTGAGAGTTACGCAATTTGTTCATTAATCAGTATTCCACCTCCTATTGTTTTAGAGGTCCCTCTCATCTCTCATGCTAATCAGGCACACATTCTTTCTCTTGATTTAGTGGGTTTCTTGAGTCTGTGGGTCATGCAGCCCCCAGCCAAAATTACCTTTTACCTTATTACTGAACATTTCTTCTGGGTAGTCATCCAAGAGTTGGGGACTGATACTCCTTATTATCAGTTCTGAGTCATCACCCAGAGAAGCTGGATGGATGCCCTTTGCTTAGAGAAGTATTTTGCATGTTACCCCAGTTATCTAAATTATCACTTCAGAACTACTGACTGGATTACCATTGTTTCCCTAAGTGCCACAAGCATCAACTGGAAGAGGAGTAATGGTTTTAAACTAAAAAAAGGGGAAATTCAGGCTAGACACAAAGAGCATTTTTTTACAGTAAGGGTGGTTGCTCAGAAGAGTGGTAGATGTGCCATTCCTAGAGAAATTCAAGGTGAGGCTGCATATGGTTCTGGGCAAACTGATCTACTTGAAGATGTCCCTGCTCATTGCAGAGGGGTTGGACAAGATGGCCTTTGAAGGTCCCTTCCAACCCAAACTATTCTATGATCCTCTGTACTGCAATATTTTTTGCTGAGTTCTTCTTCATAATTATCAGAGAATCACAAAATAGTTTGGGTTGGAAATGAACTAAGATCATCTAGTTCCAACCCCCCTGTCATGGCCAGAGATGCCCCACACTAGACCATGTCACTCACGGCCCTGCCAACCTGGCCTTGAACATTGCCAGGGATGGAGGATTCACAACTTTTTGGGCAGCCTGTTCCAGTGCCTCACCACCCTCAAGAGTGAAGAACTTCTTCCTTATATTCAATCTAAATTTCCCCTGTTAAAGTTTGAACTCGTTATCCCTTATCCTCCTCTGGAATTTTTGTAGGCCTCCTTCAGATACTGGAAGGCTGCTATGAGGTCTCCATATAGCCTTCTCTTTTCCAGGCTGAAAAGCCCTAATTTTGTTAGCCTGTCTTCGCATAGGAGGTGCTCAGGCCTCCTGCTCATACTCATGGCCCTCCTCTGGTCTTGCTCCAAAAGTTTCATATCCTTCTTATGTTGGGGACACATCCTGGGTTCAGCAGTAGCAGTCATTTTTTGCCTCAGTAGCTGGTGTAGTGCTGCGTTTTTGACTTTCAGCCTCGGAACAGCACTGATAACACCAATTGGATTAGTTGCTGCTCAGTAATGTTTATTCTGACAAATGACTTTCTGAGTCTCATGCTCTGCCAGGGAGGAGGGGAAGCCGGGAGGAAGCAGAGACAGGACACCTACCCAAACTAACCAAAGAGGTATGCCATACCACAGCATGTCACGCCCAGTATATAAACTGGGGGCAGTTACCCAGAAGGGCTAGATCACTGCTCAGTCAGGCTGGGTATTGGTCAGTGGGTGGTGAGCGGCTGTATTCTCTTCCCTTGTTATTTCCCTTATCGTTATTATTATTATTACTGGTAGCAGTAGTGGTTTTGTGTTATACCTTAGTTACTGGACTGCTCTCTCTTTGTGTGTGTGTGGACATATATGTGTATAAATATATATATATGAGGCAAGAGTGATGGTATATTGAAAAATCTGAGATCTGAGCATGATGTGAATGGCATGGAAAAAGGGGTGGCTACTGTCCTGGGTTTAGCAGTAGCAGTTATTTTTCTCCTTCTTAGTAGCTGGTGCATTGCTGTATTTTTGAATTTCAACCTGGGAACAGCACTGATAACACCGATGTTTTTAGTTGCTCAGTAATGTTTACTCTGACCAGGACTTTCTTATCTCAACCCATGGGAGTTACATTCTTTCGATTCTCCTCCCCATCCCTCTGGGAGGGGGGGAGTAAAAGGAAGGGGGTGAGTAAGAAGCGGCTGCATTGTTCTGGGTTGCCGGCTGGGCTTAAACAACGACGGGACACCAGAACTATACACAGTAGTCCAAGTGGGGTCTCATGAGAGCAGAGTGGCAGAATCACTTCCTTCAACCCACTGGTCGTACTTCTTTTGATGCAGCCCAGGAGACAGTTGGCTTTCTAGGCTGTGAGCGCACACTGCTGGCTCACATTCAGTTTTTCATCAACCAACACTCCGAAGTCCTTCTCCACAGGGCTCCTCTTAATCCCTTCTTTGCCCAACCTGTAGCTTTGCCTGGGATTGCCCTGACCCAGGTGCAGGACCTTGCACTTGGCTTGGTTGAACTTCATGAAGCTGGCACTGGCCCGCCTCTCTAGAGTGTCAAGGTCCCTCTGGATGGAATCCTTTCCCTCCAGTGTTATCAACTGAACCATATAAAGCAAACTTGCTGAGGACATATTCAATAGCACTCTCCATGTCGCCAACAAAGATGTTGAACAAGATCAGTCCCAACACAAACCCCTGGCGGACGCCACCCATCACTGGTCTCCACGTGGACATTGAGCTATTGACCACATCTCTCTGCTTGCAGCCATCCTACCAATTTTTTAGCCAGAAGATGGTCCATCCATCAAATCCATGTATTCTCAGTTTTGAGACACAGATGCAATGTAGGACAGTCTCAACTGCTTTACACAAGTCCAGGTAGATGTTATCAATTGCTTCGCCCCTTTCAGTTCCATAGCCCCATCACAGGCGGCCATCAAATTGGTCAGGCATTATTTGCCCTTAGTGAGGTCACGCTGGCTGTCACCAATCACCTCATTGCTTTTCATGTGCCTTAGTGTAGTTTCCAGGAGAATCTGCTCCATGATCTTGCCGGGCACACAGGTGAGACTGACTAGTCTGTAGTTACATGTAACTATGTATTAAGAGACACATCTTATTCATATATATGCATGTACTTTATTAAAGATGTTTCTTTTCAATAAAGTTATTGAGGCAACAAACTCAGTTTAATGTTTTCTGAAAGTGGCAGAACTCTATAGTACTCATCAGTAAGAAGAGGTTAATGATGTTTGCAAGAATATTTGAACAACTCTAATCCAGGTTACACATCTGCTTTCAAACAGCATGTGTTTCTGACAGCCTCTTCTAGAGCTCCTGTGGCACTGGGGATTTTTTGCGTGTTCAAGAAGCTGGGGAAGAGTGAGCGGCACTTTTAAGACTATCAAGGACTCTCACATCTCAAAGACTTTTTAAGACACTCATGTTTTCAAGAGCCCTCTGAAGAGACAGTTAAAGAGTCAAAAGGTCTTTAGTTCCTTTACCATTTCCAGCAACACTGACTTAGAAATGACCCAGCACTTGCAGAACATACCCATGCTATTAGAACTGCTTGTGCAGTCTAAGGGCTCCCTGCAGAAGATAAAATGCA